TTGTATTGCGTCAACTTTTCTAAGGCATTTTTTATGGAAAAAGATGTATTAGACTTTGCTATAAGTGCCATATTTTCACAAATAGGAACAAGTGATAAGCTCCACCCAATAGCTTTTTATTCCAGAAAATTTTCAGCAACCAAAATTAATTATGAAATATATAATAAAGAGCTCCTTGCAATTGTAGATTCATTTGAAGAATGGCATCATTATCTAGAAGGCGCTTCAAGTCTATTTACCATATATATAGATTATAAGAACCTTGAGTACTTCATGTCAACACGTGTTTTGAATTGTCGTCAAGTCCATTATAGCATGTCTTTATCCAAATTCAATTTTAAGATCATTTATCGAGCCAAAAAACAACAAGGTCTATTAGATGCCTTTTTTAGATGTTCTTATCTTGCATCAAAAGAAGGAGATGCATCCTTTGATCAATAAAGAGTGATTCTCTTGAAGCCTGAGCATTTTCATCTTCGAGCAATAAAATCAACATTGACTATTGATTCAACCTTTATTAAGCAAATTCCATTAAGTATGTCTTTTGATTCTCTTGTTCATAATATCAAGAATCTTTCTTTTAAGTCTCATGATATTTCAATGTTCGAGTTCAAGAACAACCTTCTCTATTTTGAAGGATGCCTATATGTTCCAAAAAGAGAAACACGTTTACGTGTTCTTCAAGCACATCATGACTTTCTTGTAGTAGGATATTTTGGATACAATAAGACTTTAGAGCTTATATCTAAAGATTTTTGGTGGCCGCAAATATGAAAGGCGATAAAAGACTTTGTATAATCATGTGATACTTGTTCAAGATCCAAAACTCTTTGCCATAGATCTTATGGACTATTTCAACCATTATCTATTCTAGAACAACCATGGACTTCTGTTTCTATGGATTTTATCAGAGATCTTCTAGTCTCAAATTCACATGATTCCATATTTGTAATTGTAGATTGCTTCATCAAAATGACACATTTTGTACTATACACAAAATCTATTTTAAGTGAAGAAATAACTAAGCTTTTTATTGACAATATCTAGCACTATTAGGAATTGTCAAAAGATATTATATCAAATAGGGAGACTCAGTTTGTATCAAGATTTTAGAGAATCTTATTCAAGATTCTAAAAGTGGATATAAAACTTTCTTTGAGTTTTTATTCTCAAACTGATTTGCTAATTATGGTTATCATCTATGACTTGATACTTTTAACTTTTCAAAAGTTGATAATCCTATAATAGAAGATTTAGTAAATCATTTTTCAAAATTACATGCAACAATGAAGTTACAATTAAAAGAAGCTCAAGGATAGTAAAAGACTAACATAGATGCTTATTGCAAAGAGTAACTACAATTCAACATAAATAATAAGGTATGGTTACTTCATCACAATATCAAAACTACTTGTCCTTGTGATAAGTTGGACTATCGTAGGCTAAGACCTTTTTTCTATTTATGAACAAATCAATCATGTTGCTTATTGATTACATCTATCGAAGTCTATGAAGATCCGCCTTGTATTTTACATATCCTTTCTTAAGCTATATAAGACAGTGAATATTTTGGAAAGAAGACAAATGCCACCTCCTCTTATAGAAGTAGATAATAATCAAGAGTTCGAGGTAGAAGAAATCTTAGACTCAAGGTAGCGCCGAAATAAGTTGAAATATCTTGTTTATTGGCATGGATATAATATTAGTGAATGCACATGGGAGCCATCAAAGCATCTTGAAAATACAACAAAGAAAGTTAAAGCTTTTTATCTACAAAATCCATCAAAACTAAGATAAAGAATAGAAAAACTTTGCTATAAAAGAAACAAGATCAAAAGAAGATAACATTCTACCTTCTATCTTTCTTTGTAGCTTGTATGTATTTGTGATACTAAGGAGATGGAGAATCAATAACCACTAGATTCAACTAAAGACCTTTCATTTGTAGATTTATCAGATGAGACATTGCGATTGTCACAACCTTCAAGACGGTTAAATCAAAATGAAGATCCTCAAGAATGACATGTCCTTCCTTGAATAGATGGCAAGTTACAATATGTTTGGTAATATGATATTGTATTGTATTTGCTTATAGTATGTAAAATTTAGCTAGGACATTTAATATGTTTATAAGTCTTGGTGTATGTTAGAATGGTTAATAGATTAATTTAAAGAGAGTGGATATAAGAATCTTTATTTTAAATTTTATCTTTTTTGATTATAGCATTTCAAAAAGATTATAGGATCTAAATATTTAGTATGAAGCCTTGAGAAGAGATTAGAGCCTAAAGAAGAAAATCTTAACTAGTAGCAGGCTTATTGAAAGGGATGAAAGCAAGGCATGGTTGGATGAAGGCAAGGAATGCGAATCTTCATTCCTATTAGTCAAAGGCCATATCCAATGGACTTCAAGGAGGCTGTCTGAGGCCTTATTAGGGATTAGGATTTCTCTTTCGAAGTCATTCGAGCTTTGGAGGCTAAGACCAACAAGTTCAAGATTTTGGATATAATTTGGATGAAGAGTTTATGTGATTTCGAGTTTTTGTGAAGGAGATATAGGTATTCAAAGTTAAGGTGTCAAATTTGTACCTACTATCACTCTTTGAAGCATAACGTATGTGTACAGAGAGCAATGAAAGATCAACAACTAAAGTTAGAGAGAAAACTTTCTTGGCTACACTTTATATATACTGTTTGATAAATTCTATGTCAAAATGAAGGAATTATAGGGCATTGAAGACATCACATGTAATTCAAAAGTAGTAAGTGAGTCATTTTGTTGATAGTAATGGTTGGAGCCATATCTTGAGTTTCTGGATGAATTTTTAGCTCAAAACTTCTATAAGTGTGAGTTATTAGGTTAAAAAGTTATAGATCAAATTTTTATGATATTTGAGTACTTATTTTGTGAGATATGAAGAAAATAGCATGAAGATATATATAAGCTAGGGTTTAAAACTACTATAAGGATTTTGGTGATATCTCAAGTTTCGTAATGAATTTTCTTTTGAATTTTTTTGTGATAGTTTTTGAAAATATATCAGTACTTTTTGTAAAATTTAGAATTATTTGGATAGTGCAATCGTGAGATATGAGCTATTGAAGTTCAAAAAATATTTTTCATAAGGATATATAAGGTTTTAAGATACTTTATCATACATTTGGATGTTTTCTTGGTACTTGGACTTATGTATTGATGTAATTGCCCTAAAAGAGAATATATTATATATATAAACTTAATACTTTTATATCTTAGATTTGATTGAGCATTTAGTGGCAGCTAGAAGTCCAATGCTTTCTTGAGGCAAATTCTTTCTACTCCGACAATGACCTTGGAAGAAACTCCTGTTGTTTGGTGATTTTATTAGAGGTAGGAACAACTCTTGACAGTGTTCCAAATATTTTATTTGAAGGAAGTTACGAAGTCCTCAACAATGACTAAATAACAAGGTAGTCTTCTTGTCCTAGTATAGAACACTATCAATAGTTGAGAGGGTCTATCAATAATCTTCAAAGAGAGAAAAGATCGGAGTATGTGGCAAGTATAATTTGTCGCATCTTAGACTTCTTCAACATATGAAGACCGCTCTTCATAGAACTCGTTCTTAGAAATGGGGGTAATATCACAGACATATACATTTACTTCAATAATTACTTATATGATTAGGTAGAAGTAGGTGAATATAGATTAATTTTATAAAGTCTTTTAGTAAAGCTTCTTAGAAGCTTCATAGATGCGGTTTTGACTTTAGATGTGTTTGTAGGTTAGAAACTTAGCCAACAAGTTAACCACATGTTGGTAGATTGTGGAAAAAATTAACTCCACATTATAGCTTGTAGAACAAGCTAATCATGTGGTTCATATATAAATAACTTATCTTGCAAGTTAAGACATGTGGCTAGCAAAGTCAACATGTTTTGGAGGTCCTATAGAACATTGTCACGTAGCTCTTAGTTAAGAGTATATATGGAAGCAATAGTGAAGCCTTCTTCACTCTTGTCAATGCTATTCTAGTCCTTAGTCTTGTTTCAAGACTTTTTAGTCTTCTTATTTTTGGCAATAGCTATTTTAGTTAATATTACATTACCTTTTGAGTACCTTTCTAATTCTCTTTAGTGACACAAGAGTGTATTAAGGATTCTCTTTCTTTGAGATTCATGTCCCTGATAATATATTCATCATCATAATAACAATCAATCTTTTTATATAAATTATACTTTACATAAACTATATTATATAAATTATTATCTTAATTTATTTTTAGATAATATAAATAAATTGATAAATAATATATGATTCATCATACTAAAAATAGTATATATAATATAGATAATTTTTTTTTATACTTAAAAAAAATCAAATTTAAATATAAAAACATTTATAGAGGTTTTTTTGATTTTTTTTTGTTTTTTTTTTTTATCTTAAACTTATTATTATTTTATTGAGTTCATTAACAATCATATATAATCTCATCATAATTCATTTCCTTCTTTCATACTAATATTGAAATACAAAAATGAATTTCTTCTAATATATTATCTTTATATTACATTCCAGAAGAGCTTAATCTTAATGAAAAAACATTTCAATATTAAAACATTCACACACACACATACACACACACACATATATATATATATATATATATATATCTATAGTAAAGAACTAAATGAAAAAACATTTCAATATTAAAACATTCACACACACACACACACACACACACATATATATATATATATATATAGTAAAACACTAAATGAAAAGTTGAAAATTGATTAATACCAATATAGATGAATTACATATGCAAACACATTCTGTTCTAAATTGTAAATTGTAAATATCTTTCAAGCATATAATTCTATCAACATAGAATAGTCAAGCCAAACACTTTTCCATAGCACAAGTTCCAACTCTGTGTAACTTCCAATATACTTCAAACGGAAAGCATTGTTTGAAAACATAATAATAATAATAAAGGAATAAAATAAAATAGGAGGGAGAAAGAAAGAAAAGAAAAGCAGGTTTATTTGAAATTATCTCTGTATCCAACACTGGAAAATCACTTAACAACCAAACAACCGCAGATTAACATTTTTTATCTGCAAGTCCATGATTTAGTTTTATGTAGCAAACAACTTATTTGATCCTGATGGACTTTTTCAAAGCACAATATTTATCCGAAACATCAACATTAGAGAAATTGGACAAGAAACCAGATCATAGAATATATAATTCCTTTGAGCCTATGGGGGACGTTGTCGATCATCACCGCACTCCATAGCGGCAATGCAAGGGAAGTAATGGCATCACACAACGAGTCTCACCACGACCAGGGGAGTGGAGCAGATCACCTCCGAGCAAGCACCATCAATCGGAACATACGGAGCAGCACACTTGGAGTGACAAACAGCAATGCTCTCACATGTACACGTTGTTGAAAGGACACTCGGGAGGTGTGACTTTGTAGCGCGCTTTGTCGGTGCAGTAATCGTATTTCATCATGGAAGCCTTCCTGGCTTGCATCTGCAGCACCTGATCGCGGGTCACTGGGATCCCAGTCGCGGAAGGGTGGCTCTGGCACCCTACTGGTGCATTCTTATCAATCGAGTTCACCTCACATCCACTCATCTGGAAGTTTTCATATGTCGCGACGAAGGGGGCGCTGTTCCAATTGATAGGCACACGCCCTCCCTGCGTTGCCCACGAGCTGCCGTCCCAGATGCTGACATGCATCCCCAAGGCCTTGAACTTGCAGTACTGGAACCCAGCCACTTTGTCTTCCAGGTTGCGGAAGATCCGGACCACGACATCGTCCACGAAGAAGGCAACCAGGTCCTTGCTCCACCGGATCTTGTAGCAGTGAAAGTCTGCGGTGGGGTCGAAGCCCAAGTAGGTTTGTTCCTCGCGACCCCCTTGTCCGCCCACGAAGACGTTGGTGTGAAGCAAGTAGGGCTGTCCGGTGCTGTTTCCCAGGAACTCCATGTCGTACTCGCAATGCGCGTCTCCCTGTGGTGACATCATGTAGAACGTCGTCACAGTGCCGGCAGAGTTCCCTGCGGGCAGCTTCATGCACACACTCCATTCACCGTACGTCCATGATTTTTTCGACACTGCGCCTGCAGCGTATCGCTGGTCCAAGGTAAGCTGCATTCGACTGCTGCTTGGGTACTTCACATTGTCAGTCCAGGGGTAGAACCTGTCAGCGATGGACTGAGAGGCAGCGGCAGCCACCATGCTCAAGCACAGCAGCAGCATTACTGATTGGACACATCCTGAGATTCTGAATTCCATCACTGGATCACAGAAACTCCGCTCCTGAATTCCAATCCGACGACAGAGAGTGGGGCTGGCGATCTGTTAAACCCCTGCTATCAACACCACGCCTCCTTGTCTCGACGTTATCAGTGAATAGATGTTGAAGGAGATGCTTGAATACAATCTGCACGTCTACAATTGAGAATAAGCTGATCAAACTCAGCTTGCAACTGTCGAGACTGGAGTAAAGATCGGCGAAATGGGGTTGGTGATTTAAGGGTGGAGGGCACCGGTGACGATCATCTACAGCGTGGATGATGATCGACGCCGTGGAACTTTCGCAAAAGTGCAACCTACCATGACTGGAATGGGAAGAAACGGGCACCGAAATCATCTACTTTACGGTTGGTTTAACAGTATTGGAAACAATTTTTAATGGACACCAGGAGGACCCTGCACTCGAAGCTTCATTTGAGGATGAAAGGTTGCAAAAATCTTGTCTAATTGCTCGTAATCTGGAATTTCATGATCTACTACCAGGCCGTTTAATGCACGAATCCAGTTTGTTTTTCGTGAAGTTCTTTTGAGAAAAAAGGTTTCGAACATGGTGATTTTAACGCTAGAGGTTCAGCCATTAACTTCATTAGGTTATGGAGCTGACAAAAATAAATTAGATGACATTGATTGAATTTATGACTTCAAAAAGCTCAGTAAAATAAAATGAAAGATTTCACTGTGGTTCTCCTTACTTACGAAGATTTTCTTTTAAATCCAGTCCACTCATCTCAAGCGTGTGTGTATATATTTTAACAACCAATTATGGCAAATATGTGAATGATGTTGCATAAAACATATTGAGAATCTTAAAGTTAACACAGTGAAGTTTTAAAAATATTGAACAATACAAAGAGCTAATCTCAACTTCAAATATGGTGTTTTTTTTTATACTGAAAAATTTCCCAAAAAGCAGTTTATAACAATTTCTTTGTAGAAAATAAGTCATTATTTGTAATGATACAATTGAGTCATTCTTTTTAATTATACAATTGTAGAAAATAAGTCATTTTATAAAAAAATTCTACAATTGAGTATTAAAGTTTTCATAATTAAAGGATGCTTAGATTTATGGTTTCATCAATCCAGTAGACTAAGAGACATCTAAAATTTAAAATTCAAATGATTAGAACTTAACAATTATACTATTCCATAATAATGAATGAAAATTTTACAAAAATTAGAATTTATTTTTAAAAATAATTCCAATTTATTTCAAATGCCACCAAAACTAATAGATTGATTTGGGAATGAATAAGTAAATTGTAGAAAATGTACTTATACTCATACATGATTTTATATTAAAACAAAAAAATGCTAATATAATGTCTAATTTATTTATTTATTTTATATAATATAATCAATGTGCATTATTCAATGGTTTATTATGCTATCTTTTGTGGATTTTTTAATTAATGAATTAGTAAATAAATTTAGAAATATTATATTTGGTTAAAAGAATACTCCAAAGAAAATCATTTTATTGAAATCAAGAATGTCAACTAAAAAAATAGTTTGGAGAATAGACTTTTGTACATGTTAAAAGTAAGATGAAGCCACCAAATCTAAAAGAGAATTCCTTCTTTAAATTAGAAGAGGTCTATATAAGCCAATTAGTTTTTGTCTAATATTTACAAGAAGGTGGTAATGGATTTAAAGTCCCTAAGACATCCATTAAGAATACAAGTCTACTATAAATCCATCATTGGATCCATTTTTTTTACTTGACTTTTTATATTAAATTACCAACCTACTTGTTTATTATGACATTACACAACTATTACTAACATTGCACAATTTTGTAGTAAATATTATAAAAACTAATATAAAGTGGAGTGAAGTACTTTTGCAAAACTATCTTCAAATTTATTTCCATAAATAAATGGTTTTACAAATGCCACCACAATTTTTGCTATTGCTACTACAACTAACTCTTATTGACTTTTTAATTATTATTTGTTAAAATTAAATTTATTTTATATATAATTTCTATTTCTTTGTAAAATGACATTTGCAACAGAGTCTCAAGTGCATAGCAAGATAGATATTTAATGATTATTAGATAACAAATTGAAACTCAAACAGAAACCAAAAAAATTATTCTTCTTTTTCTGTTAAAATTATTTCACACATGTTACACTATTTTGAGATAACTTATCTTCATTTGAGCTTCCCTTGGACTACGTGTAGCACCCTTAAGATACTCGTATCACCCTTGAACTTACCGAAAAAACTGTTAGTCATTTGAATGAAGACCCCTGGTATGGCAGCATAAGTGAAGGGCGGTTGGCCTGGCCTGGAAGTCTCGTGGCCATCACTCCACCTTGCAACCATCCGAGGTGACAAGCATCGGCAAGGCACTGTGTGAAGCTAAGGTTGTGAGAGATGAGAGCAGCTTCGCAGACAAGGCAAGGCAAGGAAAGATAAAGTAAAGCAAAGCAATGGAGATCCTAAAACATGACCACTAGCCTGCACGAAGGCGTCCTTGCAAAGCTTCACGTGCGAGATCTCGACCCAGCTTTGATGAATGCTACGTTACTGCGCACAATCACCGTTGTCACTGCTGCCACCGTGGTTGTGTTGCCTCGGAACAGAGCAAAGCCAAAGCCAAAGCAAATCTTATCTTTGACATAATCAACTGACATCAAGTCCATTCTTTTGCAGTTGTATTCGTTGTGACCCACTCTCTGGACTTGGTGTGTTGGGCATCCAGGGTGAGTTGAGATTCACGTTGTTGGATAAAAGTGTTTATCTTGAAGTGGGTGTCAGACAACTGGAGATTTCAGATGTTCGTTTCCATCGTCGTTGTCGGAGTTGAATCCTGATTCGCGCCACCAGTCTCTGATAGAGCTGACCCCCCCCCTGCAGCATTCGGTACAAACTAGAGATGTGTTGGTGTAAGGTTTACGGAGTAGATCGTTGCGTGATGCTGGAATGCAATTGCAAGCACGTGCGTAATGTTGCTTTTGTGTTCACAATCTTTCTATCTTTTCTTTCACAGAAAGGGATCTGAAAAACCCTCTCCGTTGAATTAAGTTACATGTTGCTTGGTGTTAGCTCCCTGAAAGATTCGCGTTTGGAAACGAAGTTAGAAGGACGGAGACTGCGTAATAAGGTACGCAATCCGCTTTCTAGCTTACTGCTAATGTGGTGGGCTGCTAGAAACCTTTCCGAAGCCTTACAGGTTTCAGGATTACATGCAAACATTCAGATTGGGTCTTCAAACACTCGTCATACCACCAGCGTATAACAGGTTTAACTACATGTTGAGTTTCTCAATATCACGTTTGAAATTACTAACTCTGATGCCTGTGAGACCAAGTGTGTGGTCGCAACGAACAGTACATTTTGTCGATTCTTGCTTTATCAAGCAAGATCACTAAACGGAAAGAAGTCGGCATACAATACCAATGACCCACAGTGTTCTATAATTCACAGCAAGAGTAAAAATCACTGAACACAAAGATTATCCCCGAACGCTAGGACACGACTACAGGTGATAAAACAAGTGAACTGTTGTTCCATTTACAGGGTTGTTTTTATACAGCAAAAGTTACTCTTGTTCGGTGGATATCCTATTTATGTTTGGATCAATATCTAGGACTAAGTACCTATTAGTCTATTTGTTTTCGGCAGTTACAAAGTTGGTGTCTATATCCTGGTAGGTTCTATACATCGGGGCGTCAATCCAGCAGGTTTAATGTGTTCAACTCAATATCCCTCTTTGCCCCGGAGGTTCCAAATTCTGTTTTCAACTGTAGTAAACTGCGAGGGTTTCTTTCTTGAAAGGAGGCAATCGGTGTAAATTCAATGAGGCTCAAAATTTCAATAACGGGGTTGGTACAAGATGGTCAATGCGATTTGCTAGAGGATTTTATCGATTTCTTGTGATTGAATGCTTCTTCCTTTGTTAGCTCTTTGACTGACGATTACTGAGGTCTTTAGGATCGATCATTCTAACTGGCCATCAAACTTTGCTTGTTTTTAGTTCACAACTTTGCAATTGGTTGCTGAGAGGGCTGGAGAATTGATTGTTCTCTACCTCTGCAGGATCGCCCGATCAGGAGAATGCCAAAAATGTTTTGCCAGCAGATCATGTTCCTGATTCTCTGTTGCCTATTCACCTTCACAAGGCAAACAGTGCTTGTATTAAACGATATAATGCCTTTTGTACCCTGCATACCATATTTTCTTTGCTAGGTATTTCAAAGCCATGTGGTTGTGTGGCATAAACCTCTTCTTTTAGTTCTCCATAAAGAAATGTTGTTTTTACATCCACGTGGTATAATTTCCAATTCTTTTGAGCTACAATCAATATCATTGCCCAAATGGTTGCTCATTTAACTACTAGTGTAAATGTTTTGTCATAATTGATTCCTTCTTTTTCTTCAAATCCTTGTGCCACAAGCCTCACTTTATGTTTTTGTAAAGATCCATTTGTATTGAATTTAGCCTTAAACATACACTTTGTGCACATAGCAGATTTGCTCAATGGGAGATTTATAAGAGACTAAGTTTCATTTTTGTATATAAATTTTATTTAATCTTGCATAACTTATATCCATCCTTTATTTTGTGCTACTTAATAATATGTTGTTGGTTATATATTTGATAGTATCATCATTCCTATAAAATGATCTTTCATCCATCCAAGAGGTCGCTTTGTCTACGTGCTTGTGTAACAATTGGTAGAAGTTAAGTCATGTTTTTCTTCAAATTTAAAGGATCTATGGTTTTGACAAAGGATATGTCATTGTTGATTTTAATATTAGGCCATTCATCAATTTCAATGTCCAAAGTGTAGCTAAAGTTAGATATATTTTGGTCTATATTTTATTATTGAAATTCAAATAGAGATGCATTTTTAGAAAGATTTTGTATTTCATTTTCAGGTTCTATTTCATCATCAATTTCTATATTCTCTTATAGATTGGATATATTTTGATAGATTTGTCTTTTGTTGAATTTTTTTTTACTTGTATTTCTAGTAATTTATTATGATTTTAAACTTCTTCTATTGATATTTTTATAGTAATATTTTTGTTTGTAAAAATTTTCATCTTAAATTTTATTATAGTCTATAAATTTATTTTTTTCAAATATTACATCACTTGATACTATGATCTTCTTGAGGTGATGCAAATATATTGTATATCCTTTAGTATATTCATCATAGCTAATAAATATGCCAATAATAGATCTTGGTCATAATTTATTTTTTATTTGGTGTCCAACATGTATATGTAATAAACATCCAAAGATTTTCAAGTGATGTAATTTTGGTCTAATTCTTGAGAATGCTTCTTCAAGTGATATATTTGACTTGTTTATTTTAGTATATAATCTATTAATAATATAAACTATAATTTTAATTACTTTAGGCCATAGATAGGTAGGTAATTTTTTTGATAATTGCATGCACCTTGCTTTGTCTAATATTGATCTATTCTCAAGGATATGAATCTCATAGAATTTTTTTTTTAATACACTCTCTTATTACTTGAAAAGACTAAAAAATCATTCAAAGATGATAATATATTGAACTAGAATAGCTATTGCCAAAGACAAGAAGACTAGAAAGTCTTAAAACAAGATTAAGGACTAGAAAGGTATTGACAAGAGTGAAGGAGGCTTCATTCTTGCTTCATATATACTCTCTGACTAAGGGCTATGTAATGATATTCTACAAGACCTCCAACATGTATTGACTTTGTTAGACATATGATTTAACTTGCAAGGCAAATTATCAATATATGTGCCATATAGTTAGCTTGTTTCACAAGCTACTAACATGTGTGTTACATGGCTAGCTTGTGGACCAAGTTTCCAACCTATCAATTAACTACAAATACATGTAAAGCAAAGCAGCATCTATGAAGCTTCTAGAAAGCTTTTTTAGAAGATATTATAAAATGAATCTTCTTTTATTTACATCTATTTAATCATATAGGTAATTACTAAAGTAAATATATATGTCCGTAACATCTATTTTTTCTTTCTATTAAATCATTTTGTTGAAGTGTATATGGTTGTATAAATTATCTAATAATTCCATTTTTTGTACAAAAATTTGAGAAGTTTTGTTCCATAAATTCTCTTCTATTATTGATTGTGAAACTCTTTATATATTTTCTACTTTATTTTTCTATCATATCCTTGAATTTTGAGAACTTATTAAATATTTGACTTTTTTCTTTAAGAAATTATATTCACAATTTTCTAGAATAGTCATCAAGAATAAAAAAAATATATTTTGTACCTGATAAGGATGTAATTGATAAAGGACCACATAAATTTGCATGTATCAGTTCTAATATTTTTTTTTCTCTTGTTGCACCTTCTTTGGATGTTCAATTTCTTGTTTATTTTCTTCCAAATTAATGTTGTCAAATTAATTTATCTACTTTAGTTTTAAGTATTCTTTCATTGTCTAATATCATTGTTTTATGTAATCTTGCATGATCAAGACAACAATGCCATAATTAAGAATCTTGCTCATATTTTTTCTTAAATATGCCCTTTAAATATTTTGTTTATATATTTGAAGAGGATCCATAATTATATTTTGTATATATATATATATATATATATATATATATATAATTCTAATCTTGGTATATATTGATATAGTATATGATATGTCTTTAGTATGTATCAATGTCTTTATTAAGTATCAATATAATATATGCTATTTCAAATTGATCTTATATAAAAGTATTATGTTGGTTAACCTTATTCTGTTTGAATATTCTTTTATCTACAATTTTTGTAACTAATATTATTCATGTTGACAAACTCTTTGTCATCAACCAATTTTTTTTTTTAAAGGTAGTTGTAATAGATTTTGATTATTGCTTGCTATATTTTTGATATTTGTTAATTTTGATATAAAGTCTACGCAATTAGTATCATTGGTTGTCTTTAATAAATTTCAAGATAAAGTAGTTGTGTTTTTTATGTTTAGTTAATAGAGCTTAGATTTTGAATCCCAATAACCAAGGATGTATATTTTTTGAGGGTCCAAATCTTTTAACGTAATACAAAGTTCTTTTCTAAATATCAAGATCCAATTGTTGTTTTGTACAAAATGTCCAATTGATAAGAGGTTTTGTATCAAAATAGAAACATAGAGTACATTTAATAGTTTTATTTTGTCATTGTTTTCAAAAAATTGAACATAACTTCTTCTTTTTACGAAATGATTTCTACCATCTGCTGTTGCTATAGTTTTCTATTTGAGAGAGTTTTTCATATGTGAAAAGACTCCCTAATCTTCGAAGAAGTGTCTCAAGGCACCACTATTAATAACCTAATCTTTTTCTTGTGATACTATTGACAAAACATGAGAGACATTGTGAATTTCAATATGTGAAGGAAATCTATTAGTAGATACGTGATTTGCTCTCTGTGGTTGTCCATACTTATTCATTGGTTTAGAAGCTCAACAATACCTTGCTAAATGCCCCAGTTTGCTAGGCAACTCATTGATTTCATTCAAGTCATTCAGCAAGTTGTATACATGAAGACAAATACTATTGTATTTTTTGTCATCTTGAGATTTTTTCACTTATCCAATATTCTCATCACATTTGCTATTACTATCATTGAATATATATTTGTTAGGATTTTCCAAGCCATAGCAGGGTCAGAAATATCAAGGATATAGGGTTTTACCATTTCTGATAAAGATAGCCGAAAGAATTCCATGGCCTGCGTTCTTCGTCTGCGGAAGATTTCTTGTTCTTCTTTCGTTAAACCAGTTTTCGAGGCAGAGTCATCCGCTTGATAAGCACTTCCTATTTCTTCTCTCTCCATCAAGACTGAGCTCGATGAGGTGCTACTGACTTATGGTGAAGCATCCTTGTTTTGATCCTTCTGTGTTGTTTTGCTCGAAACCACCACGTCCTACAAGTCTTCATGTTCCAGCATGCTCCAAATCGTGCTGCTCTACATCTTGTAGTTATCGGGTCCTGCAAGCATCTTAGAAGTTGCAATAATTGAGTCCATCGATCCCATAGTTCACTCTCGTAGTTTCAGCTCTCTCTCTCACACATTGTTCGCTCTAATACCATGTTGATTCTCGCTTTATTGAGCAAGGTCACGAAATGGAAAGAAGTCAGCATACAATACCAATGACCCACAGTGTTATATAATTCACAGCAAGTGTAAAAATCACTGAACACAAAGATTAACCCCGAACGCAGTTGATGTCTATACCTTGGTTGGTTCTATCCGATGGGGCGGCGATCCAGCAGGTTTAATATGTTCAACTCAATACATTTTATGCCCTCACATGGCAAGAATGATTCTCAAATATTTTTGAACATGAGGTGAACTTGGTATGTAAGGAAAGTTTGAAATTCCATTGTCATACAAGGAAGGTAGCCATGTTGCACATACTGGTTTACTGCAGGTTGAAACACCTCATGTACCCTAGAGTCCCTTAGAAATCGAGGCATTTCATGAAATTTCCTGCCTTGGTTGAAATTATAAAAGGGTTCAGAAAACTCTATTGAGCAACGCGTTTTCTAACTGAGATTGTGCATCCAACGGAACTGACCCCGAATGAATTTGAACACAGGGTGAACTTGGCTCGATCAGTTACACAAGCATAAGCCCCAGATTTGCTAGCAGAAAATTGCTAGTAATTGAGTTTTCACACAATTCAATCAAATTGCAAAGGTCTCAAATTCCATAAGACAATACTATGCTCATATGTCAGGGTGGACACAATCTCTCAAGGTATTGCATCAGCACTTAAAACTCTCATGGTCGAGTTTTCCAAAAAGGAATTAGGTCATTGTAGCTGAAGACCATCTCAGTGTATCTTAATATGCGAGCAGGTCTGCTTCAGAGAGGAAATGGCGTCCAATTTCAAATTTTACACACAACCTGTTACCTATTCATTTAGTAGATGGAGGAGAACCTAAAACGGTGGAACAGCCATCAACATATCCCAGGCGATCTTAACATGGTTGGTCATCCATTGGAATGAAGGGACGTAATTTGCGACTATGCCCAGAAATCTTGCCACAGCAACCGCCGTCATCTACAAAACACACAAAATAGAAGTAAATGCATAAACTAAATAAATCTGTAACCAGGAATCTTGAACAATGGGTAGCTCAGTAAAATGGACTCTCGACTTCCAAAGCGTGACAGCTCGTCTACACAAGTTCCAGCAAGTCCGCAAATTTGTGTGCAAGTGTATGAAACTACACTATCATGGCATCTTCGGCGTAAATTGCAACCAGCAGCATCTTGAAATCTTGCAAACAAAGGAGATACCACATGAGAGCAGACATGTTGTCATAGCTGGTATAATCTTCGAGACATAAAAATTAGGGCTCAGCAACTGACCACTTTCCATTGTCGGGCAAAAAAGGCATGAAGCTCTTCCCACACTTGAACCTTCAAAATGGCCACCCTCTTCAAATCTGTGGGATCCACTTGCAGCATGCTGATAATCGGCTTCCTTAGATTGAATGCCAACCATGAAATCACAAGGTAATCCAAAGCATAGAGCGATTGCATCATTTTCCTCAACGCAGGTGCATTGGTAGAAAAGACAGCCACAGTTGTCTCTAATATGCGAACCAAGCCGAAGAACGTAAATGCAAACACTAGGTATTTGATGTCGATGGCGATGCGTGCTAGCTGAACATGTTGCATTGTAAGCTCTGTGGCTGACCATTGGTGCACGGCTTCCACTCCATCTTGCTTTTCGATCATGGAAGTACGTAGCTGTAGTACCACCGGCTCCGACTGGTTTTGACCAATTTTCAGTAAGCCAATCACTCCCTGAACGTTGTTCACAACAAACTGCATGCCAGCATCTCTAATCTTCATTATGATCTTCTTTCCTGTTTTGATTGAAAAAAGAGAGGTTCCGATTTCCTTCAACTCTATCTCATCGCCGGATAACTGGAATTCTGTCACGTCCTCTACCGCCTCTTCTGTCACCTCGGATGTGAATTCAGAGGAATCAGAATCTCGCTCATTTTCCTGTGAGTGCTCTGCCTCCATATTTGCATCTGCACGCAGGCTAATACTACCTCCTGCGTCAGCTGCTGACATTTTGCTGCGCATACGTAATGTCTTCGGAACAGCTGCATTTTGCCGAAACTGAGGCCATGAACCAGATGATCCGAGGCGCAATCGCGGCAAGTGTCTTATCCGCAAACTTTTACCAAATTTCCTTCGGGTGCTAGAGGTCTGCATCCAGGTCGAGGGAAACGTAACTGCCGCAGCATTGAAGGAGACAGAACTCTTTCTCGAACTTACGCACGCTCCGGACTTCCAATAGATGTAACTCTTCCATGGGAACTTCAGACCAGAATCCATCCTCCTCGTTGCCAAACTCTTCCTTGAGTGGCTTCACCGATCCACGGCATTCATGTTTATTAATTCGTACTGCATAGGAATTCTGCGGGAACCAAAAGAAATGCATACAACTCGAGCTATAAGCATCAATTACTCCTCAGCCTGAAAAGTTTCTTAAATGACTAGCAAGAACCAAATTTCTAATTATAATATTCAGCGCTCATTATTTCACTCCACAGACACACTACAAACTAGCTCTGAAACGAAATCTTCAGTAAGTAGCGAGCGGGCACGAAGTACTAACCTCGTTGTAAGCCACTTTCTCGATAGCGCAGAATTGATACACCTTCCTGTTCCAAAATGAAATAAATGCATTCACCACTTCGAATTTCAACAAGTAATCCTCCCCACCATCCCTATCTCCCCAACAGGACATTCACAGAGAAATCAATACTGATTACCCGCCAAAATCTTGAAAGGATCCTAAACCCACCTTCACAACTGAGTGCAACAAGAGAGAATTGCTATTAATTAGCCTGCGCTTGAAATTACTAACCTGAAATTTTCGTAAGTCGCGAAGTTTTTGCTACTCTCCACACTGGCATTTCCCATCACAGAGCACCGCAACTGCCAAAATCGAATCAGCGACAAAAACCTCAAGGTGGAGCCACCAAGCAGTCGGTCCCTGGCAGAGCAGGTGACAAGGCTGCTACGTGACACTACGCTACCGGTGCATGCCAGAAAAGTGGGAAAAGATACTCTGTTCTTTTTTAACACATCTCGCACATGCAACCAATTTCTGCCGCAAATCGATTGAAACAATGCTGCCACCTTCCCTTGCTATGAATCTTCCACTGGGAGGCGTAGTTCACCCACAAGCCCAATTCAGCTATCACCGATGAATAACCGACGCAACATTGCATCTGACAAAAGAATGACGAAAGTAGTGACTAGATGATGAGCAATACCTGAAGCTTCTGACCTGCTCGCCTCTTCGTCGGAGGTCGTATCCCCCGAACCGATACTTCGATGGGCGGGTATTCTGCATCGAAATACAATATCTTAATGTCGTTTGAACACATAGTTTAGTTCACAGCGATGCTTTCGATGGTTTCCGTTCAACTGTGTACGTTTACGCGATGATTCATGTAGCAAATTGTGTTGCTGATTAGGGTTTGATTGAGGTGCAAGGAGAGGTGGTAGAGTTGATGGATTTTACGAGCGGTGATGGAGTCTAGTGTGTTGTTAGGGATTTTCTCACGCTCTGGTATAGGGGTTGTTTGCGAGTATAAATTTGGGAGATATTCATTCACAGTGCAGAACCAGGTGATGGTTGTAGGTTTCTGAGACTTAAAAGATTTTTAATTTTTTTACTAAGAGGTTTATTTGATCTGGGTCCATGGTGTCCTTGTATTTACAAAAGCCTCCTGGCGTGGAGGTTAGCAATGACGAAGATGCCAAACGGAGGAGAGAGTGGCTGGAAAGCATTGGAGCTGTGTTGCAGAGGGTGGTGGGAGTTGAAGCTCGGATGTGGCTTATTACTACCCTATCATTATTAGAGGTTCCTTCTCACGTACAGGTGGAATGCTTTTTCGACCTATTGCAAAATTCGATGCGGGATAGTGTGAAACGTAGAGAAGAGAATGCAGAAGGTAAGAGACTTTGCTTTAAGATTCCGCTTTCGCGAATTAGGGTACTTTGGGAAGGATGCAGCAAATTTTAAATTCGTTGCTCTTCTAGACCCGGCAACTAGGAATTCCGATTGTCGACGAAACATTTAATATGAAGCGCCGTGAAGTTTTCATCTTCTGTTCACACACCAGTCAAGGCACTGGATGGTGATCGGTTTTTTACTTGGGCTACTTCATCTTCTGTACCTAAAATGATCACGGCCCGCGTCTTCGCCAGGTCCTTTGGAGCTTCAATTCACAAGGATGCTTTGTGAAAATAGACCTCGAATTGCAGCGAAGTTGATTGCCGACGACAGCAGCATTTTTAAGAGGCTATTTTCAGGTCTGCTTTTAGTGCTTCACTAACCATACGTGTTGGATTGAATTTCGTATTGAAATGTTGATAAAGAGTATGCGTGCAGTAATCGACATTTTCTACCTTTCAACATGGGTCAAGTATATTTAGTTCGGGTTCTCTAGTGCTGTTCCGCGTGCTCACTATTTCGTAATTTTTTTACAGACAATCCGAAAAACATTCTGCTGTGGTTCGGTAAATTTGCGGGCGCTGGACAAACTGAGCATCAACAAGGAGCCCGTGCACTCGCAAATTATGCTTTTAGAAACCGTGACCTATGTTGGCATCTTCTTGAATGGGAAGGGAAGCATGCGCAAGCACCTTCAACGGTTGCTGCTAAGCCGCATTACTTCTTAGAGCTTGATGTTGTTAACACTGTCCAGAACTTTTTGGAAGATGAACCTGAGTTTTGGCGGTCGGATGAGTTTAGGGATTCCTTGAAAGATGGCGAATTCTTGTCCATTGATATCATGTTTTTTGCAAAGGTGATGGTGAAGAAGTTGGCTAGCGACATAGATAGTGCTTTGGACACCTGGAAGGTTCTGAAGAACTATATAAGAGATGAGTCATTTTCAATATTGTGTCAGCAGCTACTCCATGTTGCTAGCGACGACAAGCTGCTAATGTTCGTAAATCATTTGGGATCAGACCTTCCGCGTGGTTACAAGAAAGATGGCAAAAACGGCAATACTAATTTGGACAGAGCAGTTAGGAGCTGGATGGAGGTTTTATCTTTTGCTGGTATGCAGTGGAAAAGTTTGGTGGAACCTATGTTTTGTAATGCGTGCATAAATCATGGGCGAAATCTTCTGCGCGCATTACATCAAGAGGAACATGAAGAAGATGCTAATTTTTTGAAGCAGCTCATTAACAACAGAACCAACGACGAGGAAAAAGAACACTGGGCTCTTAAAGTCAAAATATCAAGGATGGATAAAGCAAGTGTTTGTAGATATATAGCCCTAGAGGCCTGGGTATTATTCTATCAGTTATCAAGCTCTGCTGGTACCAATTTTGAAGCCGTGCTGAATGAAAGTGGAATTCAGTTCCGACATCATTCTCCGGCAAAGGATGTCAGAAACAGGAAGAGGAATAGGAAAAGTAGTAAACGTCCAAGGAAAAGAAAACAAAAGAGACGTCGCTCGATTGATGCAGATGATAGTGACGACGAGTCATCCGACGACATTGAATTGTCAAACCCGGAGATTTTCTCGAAAGACGAGCAGGATTGGCGGGTCTCTATTGACAACTACAGCTTAACTTGGACAAGGGTATGCTACCTTCAGTTGTTCTACTGTTTTGAGCTGCAGGACTAATTGCTAATAATGGCTTTCCTGATCCTCATCCTTCATGTTCCTTACGGTTTCATATGGAACTCTTCTATGGCATAGTTGTGTCTTGCTTTGAATGTATTTTCTCGGATCAAAGCTGCCACTTGTTTATTTCTTATAAAGATTTTCTGGCTATTGTGTCCCTACAGGCAGATCTTGCGGAGTATCTGACAGGATTTGCTGTGCAAGGATGGTTGGATTGGCTGAGTAAATCATGACTTTGCTCGCAGCACGAACATATGTTAAGAACACAATCCATTGGCGCAATACATGACGTTTCTATGCCAAGCTCATTTTCTTCCTGAAATAGCTGGCATTTTTCCTGCGCTTGAGGATATTGGTGAGTTGATGATCACCCCTACATGTTGGTGGGTCATCTATCTAGTTGCTTTTGTAATTCCTGGGGTGCGGGTGTAATTGTGTAGAATTGATGTGGCTTCTGGAGTCTGAAATAACACCTGCAGGCTCACAAAGCCGAACCGGGATTCTGGTTGGGAGATTTATTGACGTGTTGCTTTAAAACTCGAGTAGGATGTTCCCAGACAGCGGCATTACAAGAACGCCTAATTTCTTTAAAATACTTTGAACCAGTTCTGAGAGACGCACCGAAAGAGGCTTCTATCCGCACCTACCACCTGACTCATCATCTATATTTTGTTGTTATGAAGTGAGTTGTCCACTCCATCTCTTAGTCAATCATCATGTAGATGCTAGGACATTGCAACTTAATTAAAGAACGCTATGACTTCGATGTAAAGAGTAAATACACGCATCTCTATTCGCTGTTAAGATGTGATCTAGAGCAATCCCTCGCAACCGGTATGTAGGAAAATACAGTTGCACGAAGCACTGACTAGTGCAAATTTCCTGTTACAGGTGCATTAATCCGCTGTCGAAAGGCGTTGGTGCACCATGTTACTAGGCTTTTATTTGTAATGACTCAAAGTTTTAAAAGAAGAATTATTTTATTGCCTTCCATGAATTGGAAACAAATTATGTAGTTACCAGCTACTGTGCGTCATTCTAATGACGACTGTGGAATCACATACGTCTCGAATTTCGTCTTTTTGGTTTTTTGCTCAATGTTGTTGCTATTCAAATATTTCCGTTATCAATGTTATGCCAGAATGACCGACATATTCCAATGGGATCAGGTGAGTTAGGATCTGGTTTTCTTGTACAGATTCGGGTTGGTTTTCCTGCCGGTGCATTCTTTTCGCTGGTTCAGTAATTGCTAAATTTCTTGTATTGTCGAATAGGTGCTTAAAAATTTTGGTCCACTATTTTCTGTTCTGTGAGATAGTCCTAGAATGGAATGAAATGAAATCAGGATTGGCTTCAGCATCAGCTCTTAGAAACAAATGTAGAACTTTTAACAAAGGAGTGATATCTGAAATAGAGTAACACTGAAGAAAGAAATGGTCATTGCACTCAAGAAATGATCACGCTTTGAAAGCCGTTTCATGTGAAAGTTTGATTCCGGTTAAAGTGTTGCACTTGGTACTAGAGTACCCAAGACAGCCATCAGATGAATGGGAATTGTGCTCACTTAACATTTTAAAAAATTCTCTACATTAGAATGGAGTTCCTGCTAATTGTGTTCAAGAGCTGTTGATCTTATTTAGAAGGTAAATTTTAGCTAAACAATAGATAACTGGTCCTAATCTACCTACCAACTAAAACATCTTTTAGCGTCAGGGCTCGGTTTTGGAGAGTAGCACATTTTAGTCATCTAGAAACGGGCAGTGAAGTCGTTAATGGGCTGCGATCTTTCACTGGGTACATCCTCTTGTTGAATCTGGGCACATGTTTGGGTGATTTGTGTGAAAAGGGCTGCAAAACATGAAATTTTTCCTGGGTTAGCAATCTTTTATGCAGATTCAGTGCTTTGATTTATAAAAGTACAATTGAAGAAAGCTAGAATTACCAACGTTCTTGCGATACTGATAACAGACTGATTCAAACAGGTTGCACTGAGGAACTGCACAAGTACATGTAACGTACCAAACAAGGTGCCAGTATGGAGCAACTCAGTGAGTTCTCGGACTTTATTTCTAGCCGCACATCGGAGGTACGCGGACGCTGCGACCTGTCTATTATTAGTCCTCGCTGCAGGTCCACACTAAATCTTTCAGACTTTCCCATCCCCAATAGACATCTGCTCAGGGCTCCCGGAGTGAAGCTACTCACGACTCTACTGGACAAGCCAATGCTATCAAGCACGTCAAGTACGACAATTTGTTCTTCGCCGTCTAAGCAGATGTATGAGACCTTGCCGCCTGAACTTGAGACATCCTCGGAGTGATGGTGGTTGTTACTTAACTGAAGGTCATCGGTATTCGGCGTGGAAATAACAGAATTGTGCGAAGAGTGTATTTCAGCTGGTCCTCGTGCATCCGCACGACGTTGGCACATGTCTTCTTGAAAGACAAATGCAGCCGCCATTGGGTTGTCGAAAGAGAAATCATCTTCATCAACTTTGATCCGAGCATCCTTGAGAATAATTGCAACAAATATTACCATCAGAGTGGCGAAACTCAAACAAAAAAATTCGCGCAGGCAGCTTTTTGCCGTTTGAATGGAAGGTGAGGCTGAGTGGAAAAGTACCTGATCCTGTCTGCTTTGGACATTATTTGCTTGCTCCATATCTGGCTCAAGCAAGTCCGGCTCAGCCGCGACATCCATGTGTAACGGGCCTGAACTGGGCACCCACATGGACTTTCTACCTGATCCAAGCTCCGGCCACCAGCTTCGCCCTGATCGCGCCCCCTCCACCACACTTCTCGAGCGGGCAGAACCTCCAATACAGCACGTCGTTAACGAAAACGGCATGACTGCATCTTTCCCCCGACAAAAACCTTTCTTGGCAGAAGGACCTGGGGAAGTGGCAGGTAGTTGATGTTTCTTGCTGACCATTGTGGAGACAGTTCTCAGGGGTTTTGGCATCAGAGAGACTCCAAGAGCTGCTGCCCGACGACCAGCAATCGTATGAGGACTTATCCTTCTTCACTCTCCCGGAAATATATATCTCGATAGCAGAACTTCTACGGCAAATCTATCTTCTCACAATCAAATATCTGATGTCCACTTGGCATCTAAGATCTTCCCTTGGTTCATGATGTGCATGAGACTCCGGAACTCCTCAACATATCTGCGTTCTAATCCACGCCCGCAGTCCATGTCCACGGTGAAATGTCGTAGCTTCTCCAAAGTGCTCCAGTAGAGCTAGAGCATCCATTGCACGAACTCTCAACTCAACGTCTGATGTTAAGGCTTTATCCATAAGCAATACCTAGCAGCGTCAAGTACTGTCTGCATCAACTCAAGAGAAAGATCAGAACACGGTGGATAATTAATAAAGGAAGCCCATCTGTAGCTGCAATGTCTTTGGTTCTCAGTAGTCTCAAACTGCAATGAACCTCTGGAAGTTTCCATTTGAATCCAGATCATCGTCTGATCATCAACCAGCCCCCTATGTTGCAAATTCACCTTCTGCTGAACAAGGGATTGCACGAAAGGCTTTGGAAGAACAAACCCACCGAGTTTTGTATCAACTGCGCAAACATAGTCTGACAACGCCAATCATCTACACTTAGCTACCGGGACCTACTATTGGATGAATGCACCCAAACATATTCTACTCCTCATTCATTCGTAGTACCAAAGGATTTCACATGTCTATAAGTTAGTTTAGTGTGTTTGACAGTTCGAGAGAGATACAGTTGCAGAGTGTTATTGAATGAGAGAAAGAATACTTTCAGTATTAGATTCTTGTGATACTAAAGAATTGTGTATGATTGAATAAAGAGATATATGTGTTATGAACGAAATGTACATTGTAGAGAAAGTATAGAATCTAATACCTACATACAGCTGTAACATTGAAGAGTTGTAGGAACCACTTCCGCCAACTACTCTCTCCTGTCAGGCCAACGATTAAAACAACTCAGCACCAAAACTCTTGTCGTGCATCTAGATATATAGAAAAGAGAAACCCAATCATGAAGCTTTTTAGCAGCTTTTCATTAAATATTCCGGTTACAATAGCATAAGCCAAAAGTAGCAAACCCTAACCTCTCTAGCCAAAGTCGGCTACTCTTTTGGGTATTTGTACTCTTTCTACAGCCTCTATCAGAAGTCGACGAACGGTTTGTTTTGGCTGCATTAAACGTGACATCCTCTCCAATGGCTTCCAACTTTTATGAACCAGCGAGGTGATTGATTCATGTGACTCGACTGCATCGATGATGTGAAAAACTCACTCATCACGAGAAACTGGAATCAAACCGAAGGCCTCGAGGAGGGGAAGTCGGCGTTTCAGGGATATTGCGCTGCTTTTGAATAATAGCTGGAATGCGGATATTGCGTGCTTTTTGTCCAGTGCAAGATCCAAGAGGCCATGCTGTGCCAGCTTCTGATAGCCAACAATGAACAAGCGGACAGCAAATGGTTAATCACTCGGCTAGCCTCGTCGATTGAATACGATGAACCACAATTGTGCAGGATCCTTTGGTCCCCATAGCAGGACGTCGGCTGGTGTTCTTTGGTGGAAACTCCCGTAGATTCGCTTGCCTCCTTCTTTTCTGCATCCGGTCTGTCGCCGTTGGGTGACGACTTAGAATTGTCCGCCCCCATTGCAAACAATTCAAATGCCAAGCCCCCCCCTGCGGGAATAGCTCGATACTCCATGGACGATTCCGCTTTCGTCGATGGCTTGCATTGTGCGTTCCAGGCTTCGAGACTGGTGGTGGTGCTCCCGAGGCTCCGTCTCCATTTGGGTCTTGCAATCAGCAATGCAATGAAAACCCTAGAAACGGAATTGACTAGTGCAAGCCCGTGACTTCGAACCCACCAATGCGTTTCTATGAAATGCATATCATTAATATTATAATTCGTAATATCATAAATATCAGAAAAATCTATCTATCCATATATAGTTAAATTTATTACAATAAAATACTTTTAAATATTTCAAAATATTTTAGTCTAACATGACCAAAGATAATTTAGATGTATTAGTTGTAATGGAAATTAGAATTTTATATAACCTCTTGCTCACTTGTTCATTACATATTGTAGTGTTAAGCACCTACTTATGCTCTAATACTTTACTTTGTATTAAAATTCAAAAAAGTTTCAAGTGTTGAAAATAAGACATTAAATGGTTAAGACTTGTATTAATTGTTTTATTAATAGTAATTAAAAATCACATAATTATATTAATGGTGATTTAAAATACTATTATTAAAAATATCAATATATAAAAAATCTAAATAGTATCATAAAATAAAAATGATATTATAATAATTAATATATTTAATTACTTTTGATATTAATAAAGTCTATAAACTCAAGGGTATTATTAATGCCACTAGAATATTTGCTATTACACTACATGCCATCATATTATGGTGTGTATTAGCAATAATCCAAAAGTGCATTGTAGTGTGAATATGAATTTAGGATAATTGAAGTTGTTGCTGCAACAAGAAATTGAAATTGATTGTTATAGTAAAATCAAAAAAAAAAAAGCAAATAATATGAATGTGAAGATAGATTGTTGAAATAAATTTCCAGCTACAACTTTGTGTTTTTATGATATTTTCATCAATCCATTCAATAAGAGGATTCAAACTTGAGGTATTTTCAAAACCAAATAACTAAAGATTTAGTAGTAGTATTTTTAAGATTATTTGAAATATCAAATCCAAAATATCATTATTCAAACTTTATTACTATCTTCAAGATTTTGAAATATGACTTGATATTTTTGTGATGTATGAAGTAATATCAAGTCAACCTAATATGTCAACTTAATATTCTACATCCATTCTTCTCATTCTTTTGTACTATTCATTATGCCTCTTAAGAAGTTCTTGAGCCTTGCAAAGAGTAGTAAAAAAGATCCTTTTAGGATAAATGAATATGTTATAATTGTCAACTTATTAAAAGATAATTTTCAAAAATTGCATAGTTTGAGCAAAACAAAGGTATGTAGAAAGCAAATAAATAAAGTTGGAGCTTTGAAGTATGAAGCTGTTGATATGAATAAGACATCAAAAGATAAGTTTAACTTTTTTGTGGCAAACATGCTAAGTTGATTGCAAATTATTAAAGAAAATTTATGGCTTCATACTACTAATTAATAGGTAAGAACACTAATATCAATAATAAGGATTAAAAGCAAAGTATACATATAATGGCCACAAAGTTGGAAGACAACTATTAACTCTATAAAAAAATGCATGATTTGTATGATACAAGGTTAAACATGACCTTGATCTACAAGAAGGACTTTATTGCAATAAAAAATATAATATTATCATAAGACTCTATGATAGTATTAGTGACCAATTCGTAGATTTTTTGCCCAATTTGAATTTATGACCTAAACAACTACTATCCAAGGCTACTTTGAAGACTTTATTATAAGACAAATTTAATGAATAAGAAGAGGTTTACATGAGGAGCATAATTTCTTAATGTCTTCTATTTCTCCTATATCCTCAGTTATATCACTAATATTGTCTTTTATATGACAATTGTTAGTCGGCAATACCACCACTATTACTTCAAAAAAAAGAATTATCTACTTTTTTAAAGTTCTAAAAGAAATCTCTAAAAAGACACCACATGATGGTCAATTTGTTTGCATAGTCATTATAACAAAAAATTGCCATAATAATAATACTTGATTTTATTAAAGCAAAAAAGTGAGAGAGTTGAGGCTTGTTTATAAAAATAATTAGATTTATAAGAAAGATAAGAAAAGAATAAAATGACAATTGAAATAGAGAAATTAGCTATTGAGTAGGAAAAAAAAGAAGAGATTCAAGAACATGATAGAGAAGATAAGCTCTTTGTTCTTACCAAATCTCAATAAATTCAAAGAAAGAATAAAGAAGAAATAGAACAAGTTTTAACTCTTGTGAAGAAGCATATGAATAAAAAATTAGTTTATGATTTAAATTTTATTTATTATTTCAAAAATAAAATTTTATAGTTTTTATTGTAAGGTTGCTCTATTGTCAATCCTAAAACCTAATGCGTTGGTCCAAATTTCATTGGACAAAGTTAGCACAAGTAGAACAAAATTCTCTATGGCCATGTTTGAACTGATTTGATTAATTTTTTAAAGAAACTTTGCCTTGTCCAAAGTCTTGAAAAGTTAGAATTTTGTTCTACTATAGGTGGATATTTAAGAAATGCAATCTTTCAAGTGAGATATATCTTTAGAAATCAACCTTTTCAAATTGTGTAAAACTTTATTTATCCTCTATACAATAAAGTTGTTGGCACAAATTGCAAACTCCATCCTAAAGAATTGGTGCTATTTATTAAACTCCCTTATAATATAGATACCTTGACCAATAATAATTAACTTGGTAAAATTAAGAATTTACTCCAATCAAAGACCAAGTAATAAAATATTATAATGGAGTTGCTTCAACTAAAGCCTTGCTATTGCATTCATATTTTGTCGTAATATCTCTTATTTTGCAATGCCATATAGAATCTATAAGATGGTGTTATATGGTAATACAACTATATAGTGAAAAATAAAAATATGGATGTTATTATAGAATATTGTAGTTATTATAGAAGATCTTAGTAGAAAGATGTAGTCAAAAAACAATGATAAATTTTAAAAAGGAAGTAAAATGTTTAGTTTTATGTTGCATTTTATAGAAGGAACTTCTATTTATTTCATAGAGGCATAAATGAGCCAAATCATAGTAAATGACATAAGAAATTGATATAGACATGTTTAAAAAAGTTTTAATAATAGGTTAAAATAAAACTTATCTCAAATTACAAAAAATTGATATTCAAAGAGGATTGATTGTCAATTTAGGTCAAATTAGATCCTAAGGCACAAAACCACAGACCTATAGTGACTCTAGGGATTTTTTGCAAATCAAAGAGTAGGATTTGAAAGCAAACATAAAGAGAGATATTTAAGCATTGGTTTTCTGTTATTTGAATCAATATTGAGATTTTGAGAGATTTTCAAAGTTACTAATGTTTTCAATGGATTTAGATTTTTAGAAATAAAAATATAATTATAAATTTGAAAATTTCTTGAATTTTGTAGCATGTGCATGGGTGAAATTTGGATGATTTATTGATATATTTATTGTGAATATGTGTGCAAAATTTGAAATCAATCAGTAGTTAAATTGAAGCATATGAGGATTTTTGTGGATTATGGTTTCAAAAATTTGAGATTTAAGGTCAATGAGTGGTTTTGAGATCTAGTTTTATCTACTAATTGGATCAAAGGAAAATTTGAAGAGCTCAATTAAGAATTAAATATTTATATATAATCCAATTTTTGGAATTATTGAATGGTTCAGCAAGAAAAAATTGGTGTTAAAAGATTAGCATTTAAGTTGGAGAAGGAAGGTAGCCAAAAATTGAGAGCTTTTCTTATAATTGATAAGTTTGATTCTTTTTAAACTTTATTTTTTTGTTAATTTCTTGTTGATTAAAATTTAGATGGAATTTTAGTCAAGAACTATGATTTAATTAATATTTACTGAGGATTCAAATAACTATAGTAATTAATTAAAATTTACTTGGAATTTTCTTAGAATTATTTATGATTTTAGATTTCATTAGGATTTGGTTTAAGATTATGATTTAGGATTTGTTTAGGATTTAGGATTTTTCTAGGATTTAGAATTTCATTGGGATTTATTTTAGAATTTAGTGAAGATTTATTAGGATTTGAATTAGGATTTTAATTGGAATTTGACCTTGGATTTGGCTAAAGTTTATTAGGATTTTTATTAGGATTAAATTAGCATTAATTATGTTTTATTTAATATTTATTTAGAATTTTTATATTTATTATTTTTTAGAATCTTTAATAATATTTTATAAAAATTCTATTTATAGAATTTTAAAAATATTATTATTATTTATTTAAGATATTATTCTTATATTTGTTTAAAGAATTTTTTTATTATATTCTTTTGAAGTTAAATTATAACTTCTTTGTATTTCTTTTGTAAATTCTTTTAAATTTATTTTGATTGATTAAAGTCTAAATGAGATTATTAAATATTAATTAAAGTTTATTTAAGTCTCTATTAAACTTGGTATAATTATTGTTGCATTTCTACTTACCTTTTAGAATTAGATTCCCAATGCATTTTTAAACAAGAACACATATAATTCAACATAAGTGGTAAATCCAATGTGAAAGCTTAAAATATGAGGTATTAGAGTTTGCTTATTTTTATTTTTGTTTTTATTTAATGGAAAACAATAGCAAGAGTTTTGAAGGAGCTATGGGAAGAGTTTCTAGTAGAGTTTCTACTAAAAGACAAGATATGTATATAGATCTAATGGTTACAAGTATATTTTAAGCTTTTATATTATCTATACAAAAATAACAAAGCAATAATCACAAGAAAGCTTTAGCAACCAAATCATTGCAAATAGTGGTTAATAAGATTGATTAATTTGATGGAAGAGACATCTCAAAGTATCTAAGATATTATAAATGAAAAATGAAATAAAATCTAGTTTTTGAGAAGAAGATGATTGAGGTATTTGAACTTGCCATAGTATTGGAGATACAAGAATATGTTATATCAATTATAAAGTATTTTAGAAGTTTATAGTAGATATTTCACATGCATTAAAAAATAAATATTTCTTAAAAGACATTGATCATATTATTAAGAAATTATTTCTAGAATGGATTGAATGGCCTAAGAAGAATTTAGAAGTAATAGAGCTATTAAGGGAGTTTGAAGGGCAATATTCTCAAAAATTAAAGGTGGAAAATTTATCATTGGATCCAAACAAGATTGAATTATTTCTTCAAGTAGCTGATGGAAAATTACAAGAAAAATTGGAGTTGCTTCTTGAAGACAAAAAAAAAGATGAAAGATTGACAACAAAATATGTGAGCTAAAAATAAACCTCCACTAATTGGAAGTTTATTCTAGTTCTCAACAAATGAATTAATTATATAAAATTAGAAGTTATAGCTATTAATTAAGTTTTAATTAATTCACTCTTTAATTTTTTTCTGAAATAAATCAATTAATGAAGCCAAACTTATTACCAACTCACACTTATAATTAAAAATTCACTTGATAAATTCCATGCAATTAAAAAATCTTTATTAATATAATTTTATTTATTTATTTATTATTATTATTATTTTAATTTATATTTAATTAAAATTCATCTATTGACAAAAATTTATCCTTGAATAACATTTCATCTTTAAATCACATTTCATCTACATACTTTATTCATGTTAAAAAATTCATCTTTAATCCTAATATGTCAAACCTTAATATAACTTCTTCCACTTTCTAGTCTAATCTCATCCACTCTAAAAATTCTTACCAAGTTGGTTGATGATGAGCTTCAATGGAGGTAGTAATTGTAGAGTAACTATGGCTCTAGATTGAATCTTCATCTTAAAAAGTACAATATCCACCTCATAAAAATTGACATAATCTTGCAATTAGTAGCATTGAATATTAATGATTGGAGCAGCTTGGCAATTTCTCTAATTCTTCTTGTGAATACAATATATATATATATATATATATATATATCTTTTGCACTGCAAGTGCATTAATCAATCTGCCAAAGAGTGGCTACATTATTAGATTACTACATTGTCTAGTCAATTTAGTTCTACAAGTTGTTATTATTTGTAGAAGTTAAGTAAGCTATACTCTATGGAAAGCTTTATGAAATCAAAGAGCAATTTGTAGCTCCTCGATTCTAGATATAATGCACAAGGAACCAGAAGAAGATGAGATGTGAGGTGCTCCCAATTCTCTTAATTTGTCTCGTTCTTAGAGCTTCTTTTCTACATTGTTTGTCGTTCAATATTAGCACCAGTACTTTGTAGAATTAGCAATCTAGATCTAAGCTTTGAATGCTCTTAGAGGTTCCATCAACTAGAATCTCTCACAATTAAGTAATTTTTAAATCTTCTTCTATTTTTTTTTTTTTTTTTTTTTTTTTTGTTTCCTTTACAATTGACTTGCAACTCCACACTCGACCACCACACCTTGTGCTCGATCCGAGCTAGTGAATCTTCCAATATGTGAACATTATTTGAAACTTGAAGCCATGGATAACAGTGTGCAACAGGAACCTAGTGACGGAAGTACTTTGTCGCACAGATATACACCTGCTGTTACTTCTCCCTCTTCTGCTTCTTCACATTTTAAGAAGGGTCCTCTATTTGAACTTGAACTTTGTGTGCTCAAAGCCTTCGCAATTTAGTATCTTTTCTTCATAAGATCTGCCACCACCACGCTACACCAACAAGCTCCCTCATGGTAGCCGCTTCAAAACCACAGGGACTGTCACAGAATTAGAAGTAACTACATCGCCGTTTGCTAAAAAGAACAAGGCATACTCCAAGAGACACAAAACCACAGTCAAGAAACTTTTGCACTACAGCTAGAAAACAAAAATTTATTCCAACTGCAACATACCTGCAGCTGAATATAGACCTAGTACATCGTCACCACAACTCCACATTTCTGCATCGACTTTACCATATAGAACTAGCCACACGCAGAACAAAAAATCAAAGTTGCCACCTCTATTGCCAACCGCATTAGTTCTGCTGCATTACACTGGAACTCCAAGCCTGCTTCAGTCGCAAAATGAATTTGTCCGACCACGATACACTAGTTGTAACTAATCTCGCTGCTTGGCTTCCAAAAAATCCCACTCAGATAGCAAAAGGAGAAGAAACAACTACGCCGTCCACCAAACACAAGGAAAGACAGAAGAGAGAACTTGATCACGGTGCAGCACTTGAACTTCTGCAATACCTCGCCCACACCAAATTCCGCACAATACACACACGTTGAATACACCCACGTCAAAAAAATTCAAAGACAAACTCCATCTCGATCGGAGTTGGGATTCGTACAGAAAAAAAACAAAAAACAAGAGAGTGAGGGATCCGGGCGGCCAAACCCCTATCAACAAAGAGGCTGCCACTGTTCTTGGGCAGCCTCTCGTCCTCCTCATCACCTTTTTTTTTTTTTTTTTTTTTTTTTTTTTTTTCCCTTTTTTTTTTTTTTCCTTTTTATTTTATTTTATTTTATTTTATATTCTTCTTCCTTTCTTCTCATTTTTTTTTCTAAGCCTTCTTTCTACTATATATAATATATGTATTTTCTTTCTTTGACTTTGCTTCTAATTTTTATTTATTTATTTATTTCTTATCATATATATATATATATTAAAAATTATTATATATATATATTAAAAACTATTGATAATTTATTATTATTATTATTATCATTTTTTCACAAAGACTACTTCTTTTGATCCTTCATCTAATATTAGCTAATTAAAAAACATATTCTTTGTAGATTTTTTCTTACTAAACTCTATCTTAGGTTGCATGTCCACTATTAGCTATCAATTTTTAAAATTTTTTCTTTAAATTCCTACTATTAACTTATAAAATCTATGATTTTAAGCAAAATAAGTGAATTTTTATATTAAATACCTAAGTCAGTCAATTCAATAATTCACATATGGTGACAATCTAGGATAACTCAAAGAGGCAAAGAATTCAAAGCTCTTGCTTCATAGGCCAGTCCCTATCTATATGTAATTCCAATTAGTTTTAATATTTTATTAAGATTAGAAAGAGTAGTACTAAAGAATCTCTAAATTGTTCATAAAAATTTCATGGTTAATATTAATTTTAATCCTATTTTCTAATGCTATTTCTATTGAAATAGATAGACTATTGAAGAAAATAGTCTCTGTATTAAGCCAAGTAAAATAATTCTATGAATAAAAAAAAGAAGTAAAATAAAAAAGATAGAAAATAGGAATGAAAAAAAAAAAAATTAGAGATAAAAAATCTAAAAATTAATGCTATATAATTCTTATCTAGGAAGAATAATTTAGATTAAAAGCCATGATGCCTATATATTCTCTAGATTGTACAAGTTGGCCACTCTCTTGTTTTAATACTAGCTCATATAGATAGCTACCTTTGTAGACCAAATTTGAACCTAATCCACTTTTTATATAATTACTTTTGTGACCAAATTTCTAATAACTCAAAAATACTAAATTATTCTAATTTATTCTTAAATCCTATCAAATAAGCTTATATATATATATATATATATATATATATATATATAGATTTGGCACAAGATTTATTAGTTCTGATTTAGTAGAAGAGATAATATTCTAATAGAACTAAGAACCATATAAAGAATGATTTTTATCTTAATAAATCAAGCTTTTCTACTTGAGACAATTGAAGAAATTATCTTTCAAACTCTAAAAATAACTCTATTGTAATCAATTCCTTGTTAGATTTTTGAATCCATTCCATGAATGATTTTTTAATTACCCTTTTAACATTCTCCAAAGAATATTTTTCTTTTAGCTGAAGGATAAAATCCTTCTATTTCTCTCTATGGATTTGAATAATCTTTTTTATATTCTCTTTTAGCTTTGATACAATTACAAGTTTAAATATTAGAATCATTTCTTTTTTTGATATAATTATAATCTTAAATATTAGGATCACTCCTTCAAAATCATTATGTCATTATATTATGATATTTTGATGGAATTAAGTCTATATTAATATAATAGACAATCTTGCAAGTAATATAAATGGTAATATAAAAATTGCCATTATTTTAAATATGGTCTTAAAAATAATTATGGCTGTAAGATTGTAGGAACATCACTCACCAAGATTGCCCTTTCTTTGGATCATTGAAAACTTTTTTCTTTTTTTCAACAAAATAAATATGTTATAATTTCAAAGATGAGGGTAGCTCCCAAAACAACACCAACAATTCATCCAATTATTGTACCACTATTTGACAGACTTGATTTTAAATTATTGATTTAGTTGCCTCTAGTTAATAGAAGATCCTTAAGATAGTACCTATTTATAAGAAAAAAAGTTTTTACATATTAAGCTATGTAAAATTTTAAAACTAATAAATATAAAATAATAAAAATTTACAGATGAAATTCAAGAAGTTGGATGGAAACTCATATGAGCTTCAGTATATTAAAAGAGAGAAAGAACTTGGAATGGTCTACTAAAGTTGTTATTTTGCAAAAACATGTCCATAAGGTTTTTGACTTTGAGAATTCTTTACAAATTGGTAATACAATTTAGTCTCAACAAAAGTTGTGAAAGGTGCCATATGGACTAAGTGTGGTTTAATTTTTAACTTGATGTTTAATTCAAACTATCCTTATCTATTACAAGACTAAGGATAGTACTCATATTTATATTTAAAATAGATGTTAAGAGTCAATACTTGATCTTTCATAGTATTGGTTTTAATTTGAGCAATGATAATTATATTTTGATCATTTTATACATCTTAAAGGGATTTTTGGAGCTAAGACTTTATATAGGTGTTATGAATGGATAAATAGAGTTACGACAAAATTTTAATACAAAAATGAGTTTGAAAAAAAGATCATGGATTTTTGAAGTTTCTGATGGTTTGATTTTTCAATAGATGGATAGTTATTGTTATAAATTGGTATAGTAAGGACTATTTAGGATTTTCTTAGATACTAGAAGAAAACCTATGTACAAACTTATAAAAATTATAAAATTCTACTTAAATTGTATTATTTTAATATTCTTACATTTTATTTGTTTTCACTATTAGAAGCAAATCACTTATTAGTGATAATCCAATAAGTCATAAATAAATTTTTTAAAGCTATAAATATAATTTATTTTAAAATTAAAGATCTTATCATATAAAAATGGATATAAAAAAATTAGATGCAAATGAAGCCTTCTTCACTCTTGTCAACTCTTTTCTTGCTTCCAGTCTAGTTTCAAGGGTCTCTAGTTTTCTTGTCTTTTGGCAATAGATATTCCAATTTCTCTTTCAATATATATACTTGTTTATTTATATTTTGTTACCTTTTTTTGAATTAAGGCTCACTTGTCTGAATTGTTTTTTCATCGAGTTCTTGTCCCTGACAGATTGGCAAGAGTACACCTACAATATCAGAGCTTTGTCTAATCTTGATTAAGAGTGGATTACCTCTTTTTCTTGATAAGATATAAGCATATTAGAAGTTGTGGATTACCCTCTTCTAAATTGATATTGTCCTTAGTTTTTTCTTTGTTCTCAAGTCCTCTCTTTTATTTAACTTGAGCGATACTAGACATCTTCTCTCTTGTAAGTGTTATCATAGCAGAACTTGTTGAAATGAAGAGTGCAATGGCACAAATGCAAGAGCAATTGAGGGAGTTAATGCTTGCAATGCATCAACTCAATTTACAACCACAAGGAGCAACAAGATTGGCAGGAAGTGAAGATATAGAAATGGTTGGAGCTGCTTCAACATTTGCACCAAACCATGTCCTTTTTCCTATAGTGGAACACCCTTCAAGTGTTAGAGAACCAAGAATTGCCTTATCCGAGAAGTTTGATGGAACCAAATCTAAGTTTCGAGGATTTATCAATCAAGTGCAACTTGTGATTCAACTTCAATCCCAAAGCTATCCAACTCCAGGATCACAAGTTAGATTCATTAGTACGCTTCTTTCAGGTTCAACACTATCGTGGTTTTCATCTTTTCTTGAACGACGAGATCCAATATTGGATAATCTAGATACTTTTCTGGTAGAGTTTCGATCCATGTAGGGAGAACATGAGGTAATTCGTATTGCAACCAGTAAGATCCATATTTTATGACAAGGCAATTGATCAGTAACGTTGTACGCTTCACAATTTCGATAACTTGCAACTGATATCAAGTGGGATGATGCTACACTTATTAACCAATTTCTCTACGGATTACAATATGAGGTAAAAAAAATTAATACTCAACTTACCTGATCTTCAAACATTGAATAAAGCAATTGACTTTACTGTGAAGTGTGACAATCACCTTTTTGAATTTCGATCTGAGAATCGTATAAATGGACCTCAACGTTACTATAATTCAATGGCAATACCAACACCTCTTCAACACATACATTCGAAAGTAGAGGATATGCAAATTGATGCAGTATGTTTCAAACCTCTTACTGAGCAAAAAAAGACTCGTTGTCGTCAAGAAGGATTATGTTTATATTGTGGAGAACCAAAGCACACTACTCAACATTGTCCAAAGAAACGACGCAATCACAAAATGAAGAGTATGGCTATGAAAGAAGATAATATATCGGAAAACAAGTTTATCTAGCTACAATAGGAATCGTGTGGCTGGAACCTTGCACAACATCTAGTAAAGGTCCTATTCTCTCCTCAGAGCCCTCTCCTTGTTTTACATTAAATATTATTTTAGGACCTAAACATTACAAAGTCTCTGCCTTATTAGATTCGGGAGCCTCAGCGTGTTTTTTAGATGAAGAATTTACTAAAAGACATAGCATATCTTTAGTAAAGAAAACTAAACCTATTCATGTAGAAGTCATAGATGGTCGTCCATTGTCTTCTGGAGATATTACTCACGAAACCCTTCCTATAGAAGTAATAATCAATGGTCATAATAGTTTTGTAGTATTTAATATCATTAGATCTCCCTCTAATCTAGTCATTTTAGGTTTATCGTGGTTAGAAAAATACAACCCTCAAATAGATTGGATTTTCCGAACTCTTACTTTCTCTAAAAGTATAACTAACAATGTAGTTAATCGAGTAGAGAGTCATAAGTCCAGTTCAATAAACCCATATA